GTTACCGACATCTGGTGAAAATTTCATGTCATTAGCACCTCTAGTAATATATTTACTGAGAAAAATGGTGACGTGTTCAATACTTATTTTACCCGCTGTACGCATCCAGGCCTTTAATTTCATAATGTCGTTCATCTCAACATTTTGCTCATTAATCACTTGTTAAAAACTTCTAAACAGTATTTTGACTGACCCAGCTGACAGCCTGGGTTTATTTTATTTTATTAGTTCAAACAGTGTTTCTGCTATGGTTACATGTTTATTTCTTACATTTGTCTTCCTGGGTTGAATAACTTTTCACACATGAATGATCAGTTCGTGAGCCGTTTTATATAATAATAATACTGCACTTTTAGTCAGACATTCACATGAGGAGACAACGTATGACCACACCTGATCAAGTGCAAACATCAACTGATGCGCCTTTTTACGCACGACCACCGGACTGAATGGATCACAAATGGAGTCATTTTACTTATTATTCAACACACGAGCAGGACTGATCTCATCTTAGAAACAGGCAGAGTCACAAACAGAAGGCAGAAGCTGGGACAACGAGTTCCTCTTTCCGCAGAGCGCATCCGGTGCGCCTTGGTTACGGTTTGTTTTACGCGCCTCGTTAAAAGTTTTGTTGTTGCTTAAATCCCACTCATCCTCTGCGGATCATCCCGCGCAGTTTGTCCCTGAACTCCTTCCTCATGAGGCAGTAGATGATGGGGTTCAAGCAGCTGTTGGTGTGCGCCAGGCACACGGTCAGCGGGAACACGTAGGTGTGGACGATGTAATAGGCTCTGTCCCAGTTGGCGACGTTGAGCTTGACCAGCACGCTCCACAGGGTGATGGCGTGGTTCGGCATCCAGCAGAGGAAGAAGGACAGCATGATGACCGTGATGGACTTCGTGACCTTGGATCTCCGCTTGGGGTTGCTGGTTTTCATGCTCCGYTTGCGGATGAAGCGCAGCAGCATGAAGTAGCTGATGGACACGGTGGACATGGGCAACACGAAACCGACGACTATTTTCTGGATGTGGTAAAGCGCCAGCCAGTACTGGCCACCCGGGAACCTGAGCAGACACAGCTTTTCTCCCGTCACGTTGCTGACCGTGGAGAAAATCGAGGTGGGCGCGGTGGCCAGAGTGGCCAGCGTCCAGATGATCGCGCACGCCCATTTGGCCGAGCAGGACCTGCGCGTGGTGCCGCTCTTCAGCGCGGTGGCCAGCGACCAGTAGCGCGTGACGCTCATGGCCGTGAGGAAGAAGACGCTGGCGTACATGTTCATGACGGTGACCGACAGGATGATCTTACACATGGCGTCTCCAAACGGCCAGCTGAAGTCCAGCGCCGTGTCCACGGCCCAGAAGGGCAGCGTCAGCACGAACTGCAGGTCCGTCACGGCCAGGTTCAGCACGAAGAAGTTCACGCGCGACGTCCTCCTCTCCTGCTTGACCCTGATGAAGAAGAGGACCAGCAGGTTGCCGACCAGCCCCGCGGCGCAAACCACGGAGTAAACCAGGCAGATGAGGAACCGCAGGACCGGACTCCCGTCGGCTGTGACGTCGATGTCCTCCAGGTTGCTGAAGAAGAGTTCCAGCTCCGCCACTGACCTGTTGGAGTTAAAGCTCTCATTGTCAGAACTCATGGTGCCAGAGCTGTGATCAGCTTACAGCCAGGAGCGTTTCAGTCCAAGATTCAGCCATCCCAACTTCTCCGTCTGCAGTGCGCACAGCTCTCCTCTCCTCTCCTCTCCTCTCCTCTCCTCTCCTCTCCTCTCCAAGAGGCAGCATCAAGTGCAGAGAGCTGACAGACGTGCTCCACCCTCCTCTCTCATTCACTCAGCCTCGGACTGTGTATGTGTGTGTCTGGGGGTGAGCAGAAGGTTAAGCAGTTCTGTGCGCAAAGGAGCGCAAGTGTTCCATCTCTATTAAAATAAAGCAAATCGACAATTTCCCCCCAATAATTTCCAAAACCATCCAAACATTAAACACCTCCTGTCATGTGGGACGTGTGTGAAGTCACACAGACTCAGGCTGCAGATGGACAAGAGCTGCGTAACGGACTTTGTCCTCAAACAAGGATAAAAAGGTGATAAACATGTAAAAGCGACTCACTGCTGCCACCTAAYGTTCAGTTAGAGGCGATGCTGCAAAACCCTTTAAAAGCAGCACAGAAACCAAACATTCTGGCTTCCAGACCTGGTTCAGGTTTCTCTGCTCCGAGTCCGACACACCTGATTTGAATGAATGGGTGATTAACAGGCWTCTGCAGAACTTTAACAGGTCATTTAATTGCTGAGTCAGGTGTGTTGGAACAGAGAAACAAGCAAAACATGCAGGATTGGACATCTCTGCTTTACAAACAGAACATTCCTGAAGAATATGGCTGCTGCCTCCAACATCAGCTTTGTTGCAACATAACCTAAAAAAACTTCAAGTATAAAGTGTATAAAGCCCTATTTTGCAGCAAACATTTCAACTTGAGAGTGAGGAGGAGGCCAGTGTTGTGAYAACCAGGGCTGCTTTCCATTTAGAAGTTCTACTTCTACACAACAACCACAACTGTCGACATGATTTGACATTTTAAAGTCAAATATCTGCCTTGAAATAGGCCTATAGCTGCTGCCAGTGGCTCATAGGGTCAACATGGCAACCACATGATCTTCGACAGCAAGACAAGGCAGGCAGAAACAGACTAAAAAGTAAGCCTTAAACAGTGTGAGAATTGTAAGTAATAATAAAAAAATCCTTGAACCATCAGCAGCAGAAAACTCTGATGCAGGGTTATTATAGTTAACTAAAACTAACTAAATAACAAAAAC